CCCCCCCCCCCCCCCCCCCCCCCCCCCCCCCCCGCGCAGAACGCGGCTGCAATAGCCACCACCTAGGATGCAACTCGCTGCGGGATGCAGAACTGCAGCTGGTGTGCGCGTGCCGCCTCCTGCGTTGGCTTTTGCTCTGCACAGTGCGCCCTCCAAAGCACGCGCCTGCAGGGGCCACCTTACAGTCTATGCCAGGTGCGTGTTGGGTGGGCTACACCGCCGCTGCCATCGCTGGGGACTGGCGGAGCCACAGCCGCAGGCGGCCGCTGCTGCATACGGCTACACCCGTCTCGTCCTCAACCCCCTGCTCCCTGCAGCACTGCCAAGGTGGGCCGTGGCACGGTCAAGGTGGAGCGCAACCAGGACACAGGCAAGACCGGCCCCAGGCAGGGCACGGTGCGTGTGGACCGCCGCAGCAGCACCGCAAGGAAGCAGGCTGGTGATGACCAGGCGTATTTCAACGTGACGGGCTATCCATTTCCCCTGGGACCCATCACCAAGCGTGCCACCATCCGCAAGGACATTGTGCGTGGCATCATCTGGGGCTTTGAGCAGCCACAGTCGCTGGGCGGCAGCAATGTCACCACAAACGTCAGAATGACCATTGTGCGCCTCAAATCGGGCGGCCTCTGGGTGCACGCACCCATCGCGCCCACACGTGAGCCACACAGCACTCTAGGGACTGTGCAGGCGCTGACGCCTGCTGGCGCCGCCGGCTGCCTTCCCTCTTTCTTCACTTTTTGCCTTCCAGCCTTTCCCTTGCTGCCCTTGCAATGCATTCACCGCGCCCCTTGCTACAACAGACCTAGATGCCTGTCCTGTCTGCAGGCGAGTGTGTGCGCATGGTGCGACAGCTGGAGAATGAGACGGGAGAGGCGGTCAAGTACATCGTGCTACCCACCTTCGGATGTGAGGGAGCCGCATGGCTGGTCATCGACATGCCTGCTAAATGCGCTGACGTGCGGCCGTCCCCGGCCTTTGCACCCTGCTGTCCCACTGTGCTGCACCCGCGTGCAGATGAGCACAAGATTTTTGTTGGGCCCTTCAGCCGCCGCTTCCCCAAGGCGGAGGTGTGGGTGGCGCCCAGGTAGGCTGTTGGGTGGGGATGTGGCAGGCGGCTGCAGCCAGGATGTGGCAGGCGGCTGCAGCCTTGCAGTGGGCTCACGGCGGCATACCTGTACCAGTCGCAGCAGCGTGCATCTGCCATGCGTGGGCTCAGCTTTGGCAGCTATGCTGGCCTGTTGTCCTCACATCCGGCTGCCCTGCCACCCGCGGCACCATTGGCGCAGCCAATGGAGCTGGCCCATTAACCTGCCTGGTGAGAGCAGCAGCTGGGCCAGGACCCTCTCTGCCAGAGAGCAAGGCCTCTCCCCCCCTGCCAATCGCACCGTGCCCAGCCTGGCCGCTCCTTGCATCGGGCAGGGCAGCAAGGCCGAGCGCCTGGGGCCGGCTGGCGATGCAGTTTAAACATGCATGGCCCTCCCGGCGCTCTGTTGCTGCCTGCAGTCCAATTCTTTGGCATCTTCCCCACGGGAGTGCTGGTCGATGGCGCAGTCGACACGCCGTGGGCAGATGAACTTGAGCAGAAGGTGTTTGAGAGCAGTGTGGGCATCGGCCCCTACATCGAGGCCGCCTTTTTCCACAAGGCCACCCGCACCCTGCTGGTCACTGATGCGGTCATCTCTGTCCCCGCCAACCCGCCCGAGGTGTGGCGCCAGGGCGGGCAGGAAGCGGGGCCAAGCAGCGGCGCCAGCAGCAGGCAGGACACCACGTGCAGCGACCATCAGCAACAGCAACAAGGAGCACCGGCAAACTGCTGGCAAGGAGGATTCAGCTGCTGGTGCCCCCCGTCCCTCTCAGCGCACCTGCCCACACTATTGTCTCTTGCATCTGCAGCTGGTGCCCACCGAAAACCTGCTTGAGGCGGCAGCTCGCAACTTCTTCATTGATGTCCTGGCTGGCGACCTGGCGGCGCAGCCGGTGGATGGTGTGCCGCTGCAGCCCAAGGAGCTGACGCCCGCGGCACGCAAACTGGGCTGGCAGCGCATGGCACTACAGATACTCTACATCGTGCCCAGCGACCTGCGTGACCCCAGGAAGTGAGCTGGCGCAAGGCAGACAGTGGGTTGGGCGTGGTCAGGACAGCAGGGTGCAAACAGAGGCTGGCATGCACTAATAAGCCGCCCAGGTGGTGTGCACCGCCCTCGGCCTCACCGTCTGTGTCATGTTGCCGCCGGGTTTTCCGCCATGCAGGGGCTTTTTAGCAGTGGCGGAGCGCTTGATTGTGGGGCCCATCCTGAAGACGCTGGTGTTTAGCACCACCCCCGAGGTCACCCGCACGTGGGTGGACTCCATCTGCCGCGACTGGGCCTTTACCAGCATCATCCCCGCGGTGAGGTGCTGGACCCGGGCACAGCTTTCAGCTGGCCTTGCCGGTTAGCGGCATTGCACTGCTGGCATCCACCCCGTGCAATCTGATAGCGCTGTCCAGTGCTGCTGCGTAACTGTCTGCCCACCTGTCTGCAGCACTTCACCGCACCCATCCGCGCTGGCCCAACCGAGTTCAAGGCTGCCTTCTCATTTGTGTACGAGCCGCAGCTGAGCGCGGAGCAAGCTAGCGGCAAGGCGGCGACGCCAGCTGCGGCAGCAGCCAAGGCGGTCTTGGCGACGGAACGGAAGCAGGAGAGCGCCAACCCTGCCAAGGTGCTGGATGGGCTGCTAGTGGGCCTGCTGGGCGGCCTGAGCAGCAGCAGCAAGAAGGAGGTGCCGGCGCCACCGCCGCGCAGTGCGAGCAGCAAAACATTTCAGTACCCGGAAGAGGACATTGCAGCACTAAACGCCGCCAAACGCTTCCTTGTGTCGGCCGGCGTGGTGAACAAGTGAGCGATCATGGGCGTGGGCTCGGGTTGCACGCCTCCCCTGGATGCACTCTGCAGCCCCCGCCCCTCCTCTGGTGTGCCTAGTTGTGGAACCATTACAGATGGTGCTCCCATGCGTCCATGATTGCATTGATCTATGCTGCATTAGCTTGGTCTTGTAACCACATCCGTTTGATTGGTGTAACGGACGGCCGCCACAGTCAGCCTCAGCCAGGCAGAGGGCTGCAGACGGTGGCAGCTAGCAGCAGCTACCCCTTTCGAGTCTTCTTCTGTCGCTGCTGCCCTGCCTGCTGCTGTTGCTGCTCTTCTACGGGTGGCATCTCAAAATCATCTGCAGCAGCGGGGGCGGGCGCAGCGGGAGCAAGCTCAGGTGACAAGTGGTGGGGCAGCATGTTGCAGCAGCGATGGTCGCAACACTGTCACTGTGCACAGGATGCTCATGCCGCCTGCTGGCCGGGCTGTCCTTGATGCCTGACTATGCCTGATCGTTGTAAGAGCAGGCATTCGATGCAGGGAAATGGTCCTGTTCTGACGCACCTGCCGGCGCCTGCCCTGTCGCCATCAGCTCAAAGAAGACCCGGTTCAACTTCTCTACTTTCTTCAGGTCTGCCTGTTGATCCGTCTTGTATTGCAAGCACTGAGGTGCAGAAGAGAGAAGGGTGTGAGCGCCGAGGGGCGGGCGGCGGCGGCGAGGCAGCAGGGCATCAGCCAACGCACCGTGCTGTCGTCTGTGACCTTCAGCACCAGCTTGCCGTCGCAGTGCCGGTATTTGGTGACAAACCGGGTCTTCAGCGGGTTGTTGCGATACAGGTCCACTGCCTGCTGATAGAAGGAGTCCCAGTTCTCTACGATCATCTGCCTGGATGCCCCCTACCTGCACGAATTCTGACTGATGGCGGAGCGGCCCCAGGCGGCTCTATGGCAAATCAGGAGTGAGTGCCGATCAACAGAGCGTGCGCCAGCGAAATAGCAAAGGGCAGCAGGTACTGTATGTGAACTGTGTTTTGCACCGGGAAACAACAACGGGAAAATTGCCACTGCAGTACAATCATGTGGCGCGCCCACTAAGGCCTTTGCTCAGGCAGCTATGCCCCAGCGATCCCCCCTTGCTCCTTGAGTGCATGTGCGGGCGGTAGGTGGTCCGTGCGTGCCCCTTCGAGCTCCACGCGAGGGCGTCCAACAAACTCAGGCTGACCGTGCGCTGGCCCAGGCGCCTCGGGATCCCTCAGGTGCAGCATGCCGCGCGGCAGGTGCCTGCGCCTGTTGTTGGCGCCAGGGGCACACCTTTCCCCGCCCGGCGGCGGTGCCCGCCGCCGCGGCTTGCTGTATGTGCTCTGCCACCATGCTTAGCAGGGTGGCTTGCACCTGCAGATTCCATAATAGCTGCAGCAGTGCAAAAGGGCTGACAATGCGGCTCCTCCTAGCCACGGCCAGTACCGGTGGCCTGGTGGGCCTGTTCCACAACGGCGCCTTTGTGGCCGCGTTTCTAGGCTTCTTCTTTGCCCAAAGCGCCAAGGTGTTCACTCACTACTACACGGAGCAGAAGTGGGACTTTACTCGCCTCGTCAGCAGCGGCGGCATGCCGTCCAGCCACACCGGACTGGTGAGATCCCTCCAGCCAGGGGTGGGCGAGTAGGCAACTGGGCTGGAGCAACGTGCTGCCCCCCAAACAGGCAGGGGGAATGCAGGTCGTGGCTGCGTGCCAATCGCCTGAGCCTCAGCTCAGCCACCGTGCATGCACATGTTCTTGGCCGTTTGCAGGTGATGGGCCTGACAACCGCGATAGGTGTGCTGGAGGGCACCAACAGCCCTATGTTTGCCATTGCCCTAGTCTTCTCTCTCATCGTAAGTGGCAGTGGCTGGTAAAATTGCAAGGCGTGCCCAGCCATAATGGCATCAGCTGGCCCCCCTCATGCCCTCCGCACCATGAATGCACACGCGTGCACACACATGCGCGCCAACGCATCACAACCCTGTGCAGGTCATGTACGACGCCAGCGGCGTGCGGCTGCATGCGGGCAAACAGGCCAGCGTACTCAACATGATCATTACGGAGCTGCCGCCGGACCACCCCGTCAGCAACTCGGCGGGGACGCTGAAGGACACCCTCGGGCACACGCCCCTGCAGGTGGCGGTCGGGGCGGTGGTGGGCGTGCTCACCGGATACCTAGTCGCGCTGCTGTACCTCTGATCACAGGGCCGGCGGGTGTGTCTCGTGCCCGTCGTTGGCCAATGCTGCGTGATCTGCACTTCTTTTCAATTGCCTTTTGCCCCTGATCAAGACAGCACGATTTTATCTACTGTACCGCACCTAAAAGTTTCGCGAACCTAATTTTCGCGAGTGTTTTGGCGAATTTCGGGCTGCACCTAATGTTCGCGCCCCCAAACGCAGGAAAATTTCGCGCTGAACCTAATGTTCGCGTGTACTGCTGGGGGCAGCAGCAATACAAGCTGTGCTGGGCGTGTTGTTGCAGCGCTTTTCCTGAGTTTGATCTTACACGGGGTGTGGCAGCCACCTATTCATCATCGGCGCACCTAAAAATCGGCGCACCACACTGGCCTGTTGATGTGATCAGAAGGCATCGGAGGACGACCAGTGACCCACTGTTCTCAAAGAAGCTTCTTGATGGTGTACTGGAGGTCAGCAGTACAATTGTTCTGCTGGCACCTAATTTTCGCGAGAAAGTTCGCCCAAACACGCTACCAAACTTAATTTTCGCGTGCATTCTTGGCATTAATTATTTTTTGGCCCCGCGAAACAATAGGTGCGGTACAGTATATAATTAGTGAAGCTCAGGGTGGGCGGTTGGGCCGCCTTTCTCCCGCTCTGCTCCACCGTTTTCCGGTTCCGCACAGATTCTGGATCCTCATCACAAACTACACCAGACTGTGAGGCGCCAGCCGCGCGGCGCCTGCAGTAACTCGCAAGCCAGGCCAGTTTTTCTGGCACTTCTCTCCCGCGCTCCCTGCGCACTCTCAGCGTCCTACGACCCTCCAGACAACGACTGTAGGCAGTTCTGACAGTCCGGCGATCACAGCCTACGCCAGGTCGTGGCAGCGCATTCCGAATTGCGCTGGAGTCGCTCCGGCGCCTCTACTGCTGCTGCTGCTGGCTGTTGTAGGCGTCAGCTGTAGCAGCAGCAGCACCGCGGAGGGGTCCACATGGCCGCCCGCTGCCGCCGCCAGCGACCGCCGCTGCTGAGCGGGCACCCCTGTGATTTTCAGGGAGCAGCCTTTTTGCCTGTGGCCCTGACATGAGGGTTTGGTGGCTGCACATTGCTGCTGCTCTTCGCGCTGCTGCCACGGTCTTTGCCATTTCTTGCACGGCCTTCACGCTGATCGTGGCAGCCCGCCAAAGCGTGGGCCGGCGGGCGCCTGCGGTCTCAGCGATCCTGACCTGCCCGAATTTCTGTGGAGGAGCCGGCTGCCAGTCCGGGGGGTCGGCGGCAGCGGGTAGGAAAGGCAGGCAGGATGGGAACGATAGGACGGGGCTCCCGGCGGCGGCGGTGGCAGTAGCTGGGAAAGGTAGGTAGGATGGGAATTCCTTGGATGGGGCTCCCGGGGGCTGGCGGCGGCGGCAGCCGGGAAAGGTAGGATGGGAAAGCTGGGATGGGGGCCCTATCTGGGTCCGGCGCAGG